GCTATCAGCTTGGCACGACAATAGAGAGACAGCTCTGCCAGTCACTCTGACCCACAGCAGGGTGGCACTGTCCCTGGACTACGGTGCCGGCACTGTGTCCCTCCACGACGTGGGAGACACACTGACCCACTTACACACCTTCTCCACCACCTTCACCCAGCCCGTCTGCCTGGGGTTTGCTGTGTTTTCCGGTCAAGGAGTAAGCAGCATCTCAATCGTAAAGATGTGAAAAGAATTAGTATAATACACATGAAACTGCGTTCATATGTGCAGCACACTAAAATGCAGCTCTTCCAGAATTCAGTGATTTTAGGGCATTTAATCCCCGCATTAGTTTTGTTTCGCAACCAGTTTTATTGTGCAGCTCGCTCTCTGTTCTCAAGACTACATATCTACCTACTTTAACTATTTCAGCAAATGAAATGACTTCTGACCAAGTCCTTGAGATGCTGTCTGTCTTTTGGGGTCTGCAGTGCAATGCCTAGCCCCCACCTGTAACTCTAGCTGAACAGTTCATTTACAAAGTTTCCTAATGCATCACTCATAACCACTGGTGTCTGTACTATTAAATCTCATGCTAGATACTGCAGATGATGGGTGTGTACAAATATAGGTGCTCACCCAAAACTACTCTAGATCTTCTACGGTAATTCTCAAAACTTACCTTTCTTACTTAAATTTCTTCTTGTACATTTTTTTAATAATGCAGCCTTTCCTGGTCAGTTCTGTGACATTAACAAACATGAAAAGTCTCTCTTAGACATAAAATAACCCTAACACTTTGAATAGACCTAGAAAAGCCTAGCCTCTCTAACACTGAACTTGTACGAAGTAGCATCTAAATCTGAGCCTCTAATAGCAGTCTCTGTTTCTCCAAACAACAACTAAACTACTCAGGAAACCTGTGAGCTGAAAACGATGCAGGTTAAATACACAATCACATCTGCACAGAATGTCATTTTCTTTGCTTTATTCAACACTGAATAGTACAGTAATACTGGTTTTGGCAACTACATGTACAGATTATGATACTGCAATACAAAAGCATATAAAATGTGAAAGAACAGAGTGTGTCCCGAGGCATGTTAAGGTCAGCTGTAAAGGTTCAGATCTTTCGTAAGGCTAGTTCCATTGGTACCCGAAGTCACTTCATTGTACGACGAAAGTGTGAGACATTTTGGGGTGTCTAGCAGATCTAGCTGTGTCCCCAAACGTCTATAAACAAAGATACACACATACTGCTTCTCTAGTATTGCTGCATTTTCTTTCCAAAATTGGTCAAATGTTTCACTTCATCTGTTTGAGAACCCAAATAAATCTTTCGTTAAATCTTTGGTATTGTATTCTCACTTTCTGGATATGTAGGTCTACTACATTATGCTATCTCTACTGATAATATAATGTGTTGTTAATCCGATTGATGCAGTTCCAACAAAAACAAAATTTTCCTTCTTACATGCTGTATCTGTGAGTTTTGGCTGGTAGAAAATGGACAGTGACTTCAGACACCTAAAGAAACAACTCCACCTAAAGCAAACTGGTCTGTCAAAGACTTTCAGTAGTCTGTGAAAGGCTAGTGTTACAAATTACTTCTCAACTACCATCAAAATTAAGCTTTTTTCAGATG